AGAGAGGAGATGTTACAGCTGATATCACTGAAATACAAAGAATCATAGAGACCACTATGAACAATTATTTGCCAGTGAATTGGAAAACCTTGAAGAAATAGATAAATTCCTGGGCACATAAAGCCTACCACTATTGAAATATGAAGAAATAAAAAGCCTGAGCAGGCTTTAGGAAAGGAAATTGAATCAGCAGTATAAAAGTCTCCCATCAGAGAAAAGCTCAGGACCTAATAGCTTCACTCCTTAATTCTATCTAACATTTAGTGACGAATTAACACCAAGCCTTTTCAAACCACTTCACAAAGTTGGAGAGGATGGAATTCTTCCAAACTGATTCCACAAGGCCAGCATCATCCTGATGCCAAAACCAGACAAGTACACAACCAGCAAAGAAAACTACAGACCAATATCCCTAAAGAACATAGATGCAAAATTCCTTAACAAACTCCTAGCAAACCAAATTCAATGGCAAATTAAAAAGATTATTCACCATAACCAAGTGGGAATCATCTCAGGTATGCAAGGATGGTTTAATATACACAAATCAATAAATACAATATACCACATTAACACAATAAAAGAAAAAAATATCATTTCAATAGATGCAGAAAAAACATTTGACAAAATTCAACACATCTCTTCTAACAACACATTATAAAAACGCTCAATGGATTAGGTATAGAAGGAATGTAGCTGGACACAATAAGGCCATATACAACAAACCTACAGCTAATGTCATACTGAATGGGGAAATGTTTGAAGCTTTTATTCTAAGATTTGGGGGAAAAAAATGTCCACTTTAACCACTTCTATTTAACATAGTACTGGAAGTCCTAGCCAGAGCAAGTTCAGCAAAAGAAAGAAATAAAGGGCATCCAAATTATAAAGGAGAAAGTTAAATGGTCCATGTTTGCTTTTGACATGCTATTTATATATTAAAAATCTTAAACATTGAATAAAAGTCTGTTAGAACTAATTCAGTAAAGTTTCAGGTTTCAAAATCAACATTCAAAAAAACAGTAGCTTTTTTTTTTTTTTTTTTTTTTTTTACTTTAAGTTGTGGGATATATGTACAGAACATGCTGGTTTGTTACATACATGGGCCATGGTGGTTTGCTGCACCTATCAACTCATCATCTAGGTTTTAAGCCTCACATGCACCAGGTATTTGTCCTAATGTTCTCCCGCTTCTTGCCCCCCATCTCCTGACAGGCCCCAGTGTGTGATGTTCCCCTCCTGTGTCCATGTGTTCTCATTGTTCAAATCCCACTTGTGAGTGAGAACATGTGGCATTTGCTTTTCTGTTCCTGTGTTAGTTTGCTGAGAATGATGGTTTCCAGCTTCATCCATGTCCTACAAAGGACATTAACTCATTCCTGTTTATGTCTGTATAGCATCCTGTGGTGTATATGTGTCACATTTTCTTTATCCAGTCTATCATTGATGAGTATTTGGGTTTGTCCCAGGCCTTTGCTCAAAAAACAGTAGCATTTTTATACACCAATAGTAAACACTACTTTAAGCAAATTATTAAACAAATGACACTACTTAAAACAAGTGATCAAGTAATAACATGAGATTTAATGATGAAGACCTACTGCCAAGGCACTGGGGACACTGATGAATTAGTCATGGCTCCCACCATTGAGAATGTGCAACAAGCTTTGTGTCAAATAAATATACCCCTCTGTTATATATTTATTATATTTTAGCCATTAGTCTTAATGGTTTGATGAGGCAACATTGAGAAAAAATGAAATATGAGAGATTTTAGTATCATCACAACTAATGCTGCTGAACAGAGTTATTAAAGGTGTGGGGATTATTGCATCCTTAATTAAAAAGATAATCTCTAAACATAGTTGGTAAGCTTATAATATATGCTATAATACAAAATCAAAGTCTGAAGAAGATCTACCTAAATAAAGTAGATATTGTTTTGTTCCCCAAAGAGAAGGGAAACATGATTTAAAACAAATAAAGCTTTTTGTAAGTCTCTTTTAATTTTTAATTCATGAAATAGAAAATTAATTTGCCTTTTGACAGAATTTTAAAGGACTTTTCTCAAGACTATAAAAATTGCTTTACACTAAACATACTACATCTTCTGTGGTGTTATAGTGCCTCTGTGGTAATTTGTAAAATGTTAAAACACAGACACACACACATACCTAAGAGTATTAAAAATTGTTATAGTAAATCCTATAATTGTCATTATTACTATCAAAAAATAATAAATAAATAAATCTCAGCAAACTGACACAAGAACAGAAAATCAAACACCGCATATTCTCACTCATAGGTGGGTGTTGAACAATGAGAACACATGGACACAGGGAGGGGAGCATCACACACTGGAATCTGTTGTGGAGGGCCAAGGGATGAACAGCGGGGAGTGGGGAGGTTGGGGAGGGATAACATGGGGAGAAATGCCAGATGTAGGTGATGGGGGGATGGAGGCAGCAAACCACATTGCCATGTGTGTACCTATGCAACAATCCTGCATGATCTGCACATGTACCCCAGAACCTAAAGTACAATTTAAAAAACAATAAAAATAATAATAAATAAATTACTTTGGGAAAACTGAATATCCACATGCAGAAAAATGAAATTAGACTCTTATCTCTTACCATATACAAAAATTAACTTAAAATGGATTAAATACTTAAATGTAAGACTTGAAACTATGAAACTACTAGAAAACACAGGAGAAACATTGCCTGGGCAAGGATTTTTTGGATAAGACCTCAAAAGTACAGGCAACAAACAAAATCAAAAATAGACAAATGTGATATCAGTCTATATAAAAGGAAACAATAAACAGAATGAAGAGACAATTTACAGAATGGGAGAAAATATTTGCAACCTATGCATCTGACAATGGGTAAATATCAAAAATACATAAGGAACTTAGCTGAAATAAATAAATAACCTGGTTGAAAAATAGGCAAAATACCTGAATAGATATTTTGCAAAAGAAGACACACAAATGACCAATAGGTATATGAAAAAAAAAAGGCTCAATATTACTAATCAGAGAAATGCAAATCAAAATCACAATGAGATATCACTTCTCCCTAGTTAGAATGCCTGTTATCAAAAAGACAAAGGATTAAGTGTTGTCAAAGATGCAGTGAAAAGGGAGCTCTTGTACACTGTTGTGAAAGCATTTAAATTAGTGCAGCCACTATGAAAAACATTATAGAAGTTCCTCAGAAAATTAAAAATAGAATTATCATATGATCCAGCAATTCGAATATGCAAAGGAATTCAAATCCTTATATCAAAAAGATATCTGCACTCCCACATTTATTATAACACCATTCACAATAGCCAAGATATTGAGTCAACCTAAGTGTCCATCAACAGATGAGTAGATAAAGAAAATGTGGTACATACGCATAATGGAATCCTATTTAGTCATAGAAAAGGGATTGAAATCCCATTATTTGTGATTACACAGATGAACCTGGAGAACATTATGCTAAATGAAACAAGCCAGGCACAGAAAGACAAATACCACATGATCTCACTTATATGTGAAATCAAAAAATGTTGATCTCATAGAGGTAGAGAGTAAAATGGTACTTATCAAAGGCTGGTGTAGTAAGACAGAAGGAGGGATGGGCGGTGTCAGCCAAGGGTTACATAATTACAGTTATATAGGAGGAATAAATTTCAAGAGACCTATTGTACAGCAAGGTGACTATAGAAAATGATGATATATTCTCTCAAAAAAATGTAGAGAGTGGATGTTATGTGCTGTCACCACAAAAAATGATAACTGTGTGAGGTAATATATTTGTTAATTAGCTAGATTTAACCATTCCACAAATGTATATATACCTCATAACATCATGTGATACTCAATAAAAATATACACTATTATCTGTCAATTTAAAAAGATACATACAAATTGAGCTTTAAAAACTCTTTTTGGAAATTTAATTTAAAATGATTAAACCCCCAAAAAGAAAAAGCTAAAGAATAGAGAGGTATCACATTAAATCCATGTTTGCTGACCGCTTACTGTAACTTTTAGTTAAGAATGCAGTCTGATTATCCAAAAGTAGGAAAAAAAATTAAGTTGCTTATGCTATTTTGGAGAATGTACTTAAGCAAACAGAATGTTCTGCATTTTTGTTGTTAGAATAACAATAAAAAATCTATTATATACAGAATCAGATCTGAGGTATATATTTCTACAATTATACCCACAGTTAGTGTGTTAGGTCATTCTTACATTGCTATAAAGAAATACCCAAGACTGTGTAATTTATAAAGAACAGAGGTTTAATTAGCTCACAGGTCTGCAGGCCTTACAGGAAACATTGTGTTGGTATCTGTTTGGCTTCTAGAGAGACCTCAGGAAGCTTTCAATCATGACAGAGGGTGAAGGAGAGCAGGCACATCACATGGCAAAACCAGGAGCAGCAGAGAGAGTGAGGGTAGATGTGCCACACACTTTTAAACAACCGGATCTTGTGGGAATCCACTCACTATGGTGAGGACAGCATCAAGCCATAAGTGATCCACTCCTGTGACCCAAACACCTCCCACCAGGCGCCACCTTCAACATTGGGGATTACATTTCAACATGAGATTTGGATGAGGACAAACATCCAAACTGTGTCAGTCAGCTATTTAACTTTTTCAGAAGATATTGTCTAAAGGTGGCTGTTGGGAAACCAAGGTGTTCTCTTCCAAAAAAAAAAAAAAAAAAAGGACACCTTTACTGAAGTTTTTAAAGAAAGTATGTGGATGGTGAGATGGTCTAAAAGGAAAAGCCTAGAGGAAGCAGGGAAAAAGCAAGGCAATTCAGCCATAAAGAAAAAAAAGCCAAATAGCGGAGCCCTGTTACATACTGAATTTCTCACCCCAACCCCATCACTAACCACCAAGGAAGGCCCTTTTGTCCCCAGCTAAGCCCCAGTCCCAGGCTTAACCACTGTGATGGCTTTATTCAACTACTCTTGCTAATTTCAGTTTACTCTATGTTTATATCAGTTTTAGCTTTATTATTACATAAATATACAAAGTTTTTTTAACTTTAAGATCACACATTACAATTAGGACAAGAGCTTAACACAAGAATTCTTTTTATTTACAAGGTCTTACTGCTGAGAAGGTTCTATTATGCACAATGAGGTATACTGGCAACATATAAAGACTACGGATGATCTATCCCAAAAAGAAATAAAGCAAAACAGAAACAGAGATCAGCTCCATGCTAGTCATGCTATCATGAGTAAGACACATGAGCTCTGAAGCATCTTCATACTCACCCCCAGGAGAAAGCCCAGTGGTTTGGTCTTTTGAGTCTTGAAGTCACTAATGCAGATGCCCTGTGAGCTACACAGCATCAGCTTGAGAGAAGAGCCTTATACCACCCAGCTCTCCCACTTCTGAGCCCACATCCTGTTCTTTGAAGTTGCTATGAAGTAATTGCTTCTTCTTCATTATAAAATGAGATAACAACAGCCTTGCTCTCATCTTAGCACCAGCGTAAAAATGTACACTACACTAACAAAATGTAGACAAAAACACATTGGGAACCAGAAACTTTAAAACAGAGACAAACCTGCCACCTCTAGGCTAAGTTCAGTCCTTTATATCTAATTCAAAGGCAGTGTTGTGTGACTTCCCAAGTTCTGAAGTCAGGAAAATGGGATGGTCTTTGTTGGAGGAGGCAATGAACCAGCCCGGGAAGGCCACAGACTCAAGGGTGGAGGTCCTACCAGTCTTGAGACGATAGAAAAGGAACTGTTTCATGGGCTCAGGTTGGTCGTACAGATCCATGATCTTCTGCTCCTGAAATGTGAGAACAAGTACCCATGAGGAGAAACAGAAGCTGTTTGAGATATTCAGCGTTATTCAAAATAATTCAATAAATATTCCAAAGTTCCAGAAAACCTTATCCATCAGGCTTAGAGAAACACATTTTGAAGGAACAGCAGAATAAACATACACGAAATGTTACCTTCCAAGCCCCCACCCTCAAATCCAGAGATGGTGTGGGAAGTTTACAAGAAAGAGTTTAATGAACAAGCAGCCACACTTGAACAACAAGTTAGAACTCTTCATACACAAGAGGCTGAGGGGAACCTTGGGAAAAGGAAGAAGTTGGAATTGCCTCCCTTACCAATACCACAACAGTGAGAGCCACTACCGTGCAAGAACCACTGGTACGACAAAGGACAGCCAGGTTAGGCTATGAATTTCTGACTAATTGTCAAATACATGAGAAAGATAAATACGAATGAAAAAGACACAAAAGGGTCTAACAAATCAAAGGATTTGTATCAAAGGAGGAAAATAAATAGAGCAATCAGAAAATGCCTTCTATATTGTATATGAAACTGTATTCTGTGTATCTGTATATTTGTATGTACATGCATTATGTATTTAGGTAAAATAAGTATTTCTAAATAAATTGCATGTGTTCAAGATCTCACGAGAGACAGAAATGATTTGTAATTCAGCCACATTCCACTCTGAATGGGAAGTTCTTCTCCCATAGGATTCCTTTACTCGCTTAATGGCTTCTAGTTAGTCTGATTCTTTGGGTGGCCAGAAACCTAGGACTCATTCTTGATGTTTCTTTTCTTTTTTCTTTTTTTTTTTAAAAAAAAAAAAATTCCATAACATCTAACCCAGGAGCAAGGCCTGTGGATTCTATTTCCAAATATTTCCTGAATCGGGTCACCTCTTACACTCTGCACACAATGTCAACCCCAAACCAGGCTATCATTCTCTCACCTGGACTATTAGGGTGACCTTCTAAGTGTTCTACTTGAACTTACTCTAGTCTCTAGTAATCATTCTCCACAAGGCTGGTAACCGAACTTTAAACTGAAGTAAATAAATAAGATTATGATACCCTTTTGCATAATTTTCCATTGTTATTAAAATGAAACTCTGCAGCAAAGCCCACAGGGTCTGCAGCACCCAGCTCTTGTCTACCTGCTGCCCTGCCTTCTTCCCACTCTCCTGCCTGTTCATTCTGCCCCACCACACCTGTCTTCTTCTTTGCCTTTCAAGACACCAAGCTGTTCCCACCCAGGGTCCTGGCACTTACTCTCCCTGCACCTCACACCACCCCCACATCTTCCCATGGCCAGCTTCTCCCCATCACTCGTGTCACCTCCCTGGGGAGAGCTTCACTGAACATCCCATCCCAGCCAAAATAGGTTTGGAATTTCCCCTCCCACTCATTGCGATCACATTCCTGAGTTACTTTCTTCATTAGTACCAATTGCTATCTAAATGTAGTGTATTTATTTATCATTCCTAGAATTATTGTTAGACTTGTTCATCACTGTATTTCTCAACACAGAGGAAAGCCCCAGCATTCTACTGAATAGAGATTAGCTGTTTAATAAATGGAAGAATGCTTCCTCATTTCAAGCTCCCATACCTCTTCCATCATCACCTTCAACTTCCTACCCACTGAGAAAATTGAAGTAATTAGAGGAAAACTTGTACAAACCATCCCATAACATGGGATCCCAGCCTACTGCACCCACAACCCCACCTCCCTGCTCGAGTAGGACAGAGTGACAGGTCCCATCTGCACTTGCAATTTAAGGACATCCCTCTAGCCATTCTCCCTGCTCTCTTGTGCTCCATCAATTTTGCTTGCTCTGCTCAGTCATTCCCATCAGCATATTTGCTGTCATTTTTACCATCTTAAGCAACATAACTTGTTTGCTTACCCACCACCATCGCCAGTTCCCCTTTGCAGAAAACTTCTTGCAATCGCTGTGTATATTTACTGTCTCTGATTTCTTTCTTGTAATTCCTCTCTTTAAACTTACTCCATCCAACCTTTTGCCCCCACCACAGCAACAACACTGCTCCTACCAAAGTCCCCAAAGACCCACCCATTGCCACATGCAATTTTGCAATTCTTAGTCCCCATCTGAGAACAAAGGCACAACATAAGGGTGACTTAGCTGACAGGGCAAAGTAGAAAATGTCATTCTCAGTCCTTATCTTATTGGTCACACTCACAATCCCGTGTCCTTCACTTAAAATACTTCCAGAATCTGACCTGCTTCTCCCTATCTCTGCTGCTATCTCCTTGCCCATCAAATCATACCTCAATCACCTCAAAGTCCCCTGAAGGACTTTCGCCTTTGCCTGCCACAGTCTACAATCAAAGAGCACCCAGAGCAATCATTTTTAGACCTAAGCCCCTTCACGCCATTCTTCTGTTCAAAACATTCTAATATTTTACATTTCACTCAAATTGCAAGGCTGAGTCCTTGCAAAGGATAACGAGGCTTTCATGTCTGCCTTTATATCTCTGGACTCCTTCCTCAGTTCACTCTGCACTCCTTCCTCTGTTCACTCTGCACATCTGTCCTCACTGGTTCTGAGACGTGCCCTCACTGGACACCTGCTGACTAATTTCCCTAGCTCTTTCTACTCTCTGCGAACATCTCACCTAGGCAAGGATGCCTACTGCACTATTCACCACTGCAGCCTGACCCCGCCTGTGTTCCCGGTACTGCTGGTCTCTATCCTGCTCTAACCAGTTTTATTTTTCTAGGAGAAGTAAAGACCTCTAACATAGCACAAATATACCTACTATTACCTTTATTGTTTGCCATTTTTCTCCTTTCACTAGAATCCAAGCCCTGGGTAATCAAGGCTCTTTGCCATTCTGTGCACAGATATATCTCAAGCACCTACACAGTGCTGGAGGCCAGGAAGTGCCCGCACATTTGCTGAATTGAATTGGATTGGGTTGAATCCAATTGAATTAAACTGAAGTTTGTAAAACAAGAACAGTCATTAAAAAAATAAAAGAACAAACCAGAGAGCTTGGAAATTAAAACAGTAAAGGTTGAAATTTCAGGAAATGCCGTTCAAGGATGATTTCCAGAGGAGACAACACTGAATATGTAACCATGAGCTCGCAGAGCAAAGCAAGAAATTCTCCCAGCTGCAACACCAAAATTTTAAAAAGCAATGAAAGGATAGAAAGCATAAAAAATTAGATGGGATCTCGAAGTAAGATCCATAACTTCCAATGATGGATGAACAGGAATTCCAAAAAGAAAATAAGGGTGAGAAGATACTTGAAGAAATCATGGCCAAGAATATATCAAAAGTTAAGGAAGACAGAGCAGTGCGAAGACGAAGAGACGAGAATGACCCCTGGACCGACCAAAGCCTGCACACCTCTGCATCCCGCACCCAGCGCCTGCGTCCCACCGCCGTTGCCACCATGCCAAAGAGGAAGACTGAAGAGGATGCTAAAGGAGATAAAGCCAAGGTGAAGGACAAACCAAAGAGAAGATCCACAAGGTTTTCTGCTAAACCTGCTCCTCCAAAGCCAGAGCCCAAGCCTAAAAAGGCCCCTGCAAATAAGGGAGAGAAGGCACCCAAAGGGGAAAAGGGAAAAGCTGATGCTGGTAAGAAAGGGAATAACCCTGCAGAAAATGGAGACACCAAAACAGACCAGGCACAGAAAGCTGAAGGTGCTGGAGATGCCAACACCTGGCATCTCCAGCATGTGAAGTGAAGTATGTGTATTTTTGATAACTGTGTACTTCTGGTGACTGTACAGTTTGAAATACTATTTTTTATCATTTTATTAAAAGGCAGAATTTTGTTATACTTTTTTAAAAAGCTATGTTGTTACCACATAGAACACTTCATTATTTTTTGTGGGGAAAAGGGCTTATGTCACTAATAGAATGTCTCTGAAGCTGAATTGATGTGGGGAAAACACCTTTCCCTTCTGGTTTTGAGAGACTTCTTTCTGGCTCCCCGGAGGAGGGATTCTCTGACTTTGACACACATGGCCACCTTGGCATGAAAGCCTTGTGGTATGGAGAAACAAATTCATTTTTATGCCCTCTTCTCCCTTTCCATCTTTCAGCATAGACTTAACTCCCTTAAGACCAGTCTGTTAGGACCTGACCCCCAATAACTGGTTACCAGTGTGTCAATCAATCTGGACTTTCCAGTGATGCCACTAAGATGGCACTTGTCAAAAGAGCAGTGATTCCGTTTCTAGATTGTGGATCTTCAAATAAATTCTGCCATTTTCATTTCACTTCCTGAAAGTTAGGGTCGGCTCGTGAAAAGTTGTTAAACAACATGCTAAATGTGAAATGTCAACCCTCACTCTAAACTTTCCCTGTTCAGAGCATCAGAAGAAGACTTCACTGGGTTTTACAGTGACTTTCTGATTTTTGGTGGTCCACTGAAGAAGGGAGTTTGAAAGTAGTTTCATACTGTTAATGATTTTCTGACCATATCCTGGCTGAAATACCATGATTGTTTATGGAAAGTATTTTTAATAAAGTTGGATATAGTTTGGCTTGGAAAAAAAAAAGAAAGAAAGAAAGACAAGGGCCTCAACTTCTGACAGCCAGGATAAAAAGAAAAGTCTATTGCATATACATAACTTAAAAGAAGCTGGGAATAAATACGCTTAGGAAGACAAGGCTATTTCTTTTTTAATTCTAAAATTAGGTATTCAACCAAACACTTCTAAAAGAAAAGGCTTTTAAAGTATTTTTCTTAGTTACTCACTTTTAGCTGCAATGTGGGCTGTCCTCCAACCTTCTCACAATATAGACACATTTCTGGATTCCAGATTCCCAAATAAATGGGATCCCCTTTGCCTTGCTCAAGAGCCTCTGGATACTTGCATGTGACAGCAGCAACAATGACTATAAAGGTAAGAGAAGAGATGGTGGCAGTTTCCTTCTGAAGTCAGGGAAGATTATTTGATTTAGAAGGCAGTATCTGTAAGTGGGTCTGGAAGAGAGCTGAAGAGTGTAATGGCAGCTAGACCCATCAAATGGCCAACCCTCCTATTCATTCATTTATTTATTCATTCATTCACACCATGTGCCAATCACTTGCCCTAGTAAATGAGCAAACACAGACAGCTAAGCAAACAGCAGAGTCTGCTCCTGAGATTCTCATGCCTCTGCTTGAGCACATGGAGATGGGAAACTCCTACAGCAAGCAGCTCCTCTGATTCTTGGAGAGCTCGGTTCTTTTTGCAAGTTTTTCTCAATGTGATGCTGAAATCTGCCTTCCTGTGGTATTCACCCATTTAGTCATTTTAGGACCCCCTGAAGTCATGCAGAACAAGCTAAAGACAGGGCTTCAGGTGACTGAAAGCATCTTTCCTATTCCCCAGGAGGCTCCTCCGCCGTCTATGGCTTCTTCATCTTAGTGGAACACAAACTTCTCCCTGACTTCTCTTCCCAATTAGGTGTGAAATTCTCCCCGCTTCAGGTGGGCCCCATTGTAAAGTCACACTTTTACAAAAGGCTGGTGCCAGCTTTCCAGCCATGCCAGTGCAAATGGTGGTGCAGGCACAGGTGACCACTCACCTGGAGTCACACTGCTACTCCTTGGAACTGATACGAGGGTCTGACCCTGAAGGGTCCAAACTTGCTGATTTAAATCATTAACAGCTCCAGTCTTAGGTTGGATTACTAATTTTGGGATGGAGAAAAACAAACGAAGAAATATTATAATCAAGGCTGCTTTACTAGATCCAAGGAGAAAAGTATCTAACCCAGGTGCTTTTGTAAGGAAGGTGTAAGGTTTGCATCCCAACTGGCAGCATTCACATCACCCATCAGCCTAGCCTTTCTCTCTAGTGAAGTTGTGAGCTCTGTTGAGGAGGGCAAGGGCTACCGAGGGAAGTCACTGGTTTAAGAGGGCAAGCCATCAAGACAGAGGGCAATGAGCAGTCTCACAGAACCTGTGTGCCAAGGCCCAGATATCCTCTTTTGTGCTTGTTCTGTGCTTGGCTCGATGCTGAGAACTGGAGCTGGAGCAGTGACTAAGCAATAGCCCCCACCCTCCAGAAGCCCAGGGACCAGTGGTAGGTGGGCAGCACCATGTAGGAAGCTCAGTGCACTGAGAGGAGCAGAGAAGCCTGGGGCTTCCACAGGAGACAGCTGAGTGCAGAGGGCCTTGGCCTCCAGAGCCCCATCCCAATAGCACCTGTTTGTCGAGTGACCTCCCCTCCATCGTTACAGTGTCCTGGAGTGCCTCTCATAGCGCAGTTGTCTCAGCACCTGTGAGGCAGACGTAGGAGAGATGAACCATGGGAGATGTTTCCAAGACCTTCCAGGACACAAGCTCCTCGGGCCCTCATTCTAGACAGGGAGCTGGGAAACCTGGCCTGACACGAAGCTCTGGTCAGAAGTTCTGAGCCACAACTGGGACAAAACTTAAAGGAAACATCAGCAAAGGGAGAGGAGGTAGAATTTTCCTCCACTCGGAGATCCAGTTAGTATCATAGTGTCTCCCCTATGAGCTCAAAAGCCAAGCATAAAATTTTACCTCAAACAGCTCACAGGTACCTGATGCCCATGTCTCCTTTTCTCTGAAGCCTCTACCCCTCCATCAACATTGTTTTTGCCTAGGAGCAGGGGAGGGTCCCATGCCAGGGCTGCTCTGCCAGGATCCCAGCAACTCCCCAGTGAGAAGCAGCCCCACACAGGACAAGGCATAGAGCCAGCCTGAAGTGGCCTTTCTCTTCGTTGAGCCCCAAAGCACAGACAAGAGGAAAGGCTCCAGAGGGTGGGGGAGGAGCCAGCTATTAACTATACCTGGCAAAAAAGGGCCTTTATCTACAGTCCAGGGGACGGAATCGTGGCTCCAGCAGCTTCCAAGGGCAGTGGCAGGCTCTAACGGAGCCTGGGTTATTTATCTGAGCAGAGAGGGAGGCACCAGCTTCCTGGGTGGGGCATAAGAAATCACAGAAATAGCACAGGTATGACCCATCTGGGCTCCCTGAGAAATAAGTCTTGAGCCAACCCATACAAATTCGACCACAAGGAAATGAGATTGATGACAGATCCTAGGTTTCTCAGAAAGGGGAGACTAAGGGACTTCCCCGGAGTTCGCCTCTCCTGCCAAGTCATTCTGGGGCTAGGACTAGAAATGCCAGGCACCCTCATGTCAGGGAATCCATCTCCTGGGACTGGGAGCCTTGCCCTCTGCAGTCAGACTATAGGCATCCTGTGAGAGCAAAATTAGCCACACGTCTCAGATAAGAGCCCTATGGCATTTCTCGACTACCCTGCCTAAGGCTGCACATGAATTGAGAGCCAGGCAGTAGAGCTCCCCTACCTAACACTCTTTCAGCTCCATCAACATGGGGAGCCACAGGGACTATGTAGACTTGTCTTTTAACTGAGGAAAGCCTGGTCTCAGGTACCCCCAAAATGCGCTGGACTCCATAACTGCCTAAGGAAGTAAAGAGTTGGGCAGTGATTTCTCCCAAATCTGAGCCCCAGATGCCAGTTTCTCCCCCACCCTTTGCCCTAGTAATGCAGGACATTTCTAGATTCCTGATCAGTGGTAATGGTTATTTTTATATCCTGTTTATGCACCCCATCTTATCTGCTATAGTCAAGCCTAAAAAAATTGCTGAGGTACAAGTTAACTAGAGTGAAGTGAGTTTTAGGAGACAGACTTGAAGCACCAACAGCTTCAGGTTCACCTATCTATAAGGAAGAAAAGTACAGAGAATGAGACAGAATCTTCTAGATAAGCTCATTCATGAGCCCCTCTTTCCAGCCCTGGAAACATTCTCCGGACTCAACATCTCTTACTTTCCACCCCCATCTTCTGGTATTGGAAGAACACAGTCCTTTCCTGCTGTGGCCCCAATCCTATCACTTTTGGCTTATAGTGTGACCCTAGGAGAGGGTGTGGTAATGTCAGGTGCACCTTTGTTCAAAGTCAGCCTGAGCTACTGCCACCTCACTTGCGTCTCCTCTGCCCAGTTAATGATCCCCTCCACTATGCATCAGTCAACATATCCCCTTTCTTGGGATGCTCACCACAAAACAGCATGCAAAATCCCCATTATTTGACCCCCCAAATCCCTTAAGCCTGAGTTTCCAATGGAGAACCCTCTGAAAGCAGAACCCATGCTAGGAATTGCAAACAAAGGGAATTGAATAAAAAGACCTACGTACATGCATGTTGGAAGGCCAAAGAAGATTAAGGGATTGCTGTAGTATCCCAGATAATAACAACTACAGGGAGGAAACAAAAGGAAACAAAATAATCTAGGGTCTCAAAGGAGGGTTTTTGTAGGACTTATCTCCAGATATGAGTCAGGAATGGGAGATTCTCAGCCAAATGATGCTCAGACCTCTGAAAAGAGAGTGCAGTCTGGTGGATGCTTGGTTCTGGAGGGGAGGAGTCAACAAGAAGATGCGCAGAGGATCCAAGGAACACAACTCAAACAGCTGAATTTTCTTTGATTCGAAAGCCTGTGGGTATAGTCGGAACTTCCCATGCCCAGATGAAGGTTGCAAAAAACTATATAATAGGCTGACATGTGTCCTTTTCAGCCTCAGCCTTCTATTCCACTTGGTCCTGACCCTTCAACAGCTTGCAAGCACTCAGAGAATCCAGCCCTTCCTAGAATTCCCAGCACTCAGCATCCATCCTGAAGTCCCCAGTTTAATTGTTAGTGTGAATAAGTACCAGAAAAATTGCAGGGAAAAGGAGTGATGATGATAACAGGGGAGAACCAAATCACCACAGCTGATCAGTAAAGAGCAGAGAGCACATCTACTGAAGAAATGGCCCAGAACTTTTATCTAAAAGTGGAAGGGACAGATGTTATGATTACATGATACCCTGGCTGTACTTCAGAAAACCATCAATATTGATTCTGATTATAAAAAGTAAAGAACATACTGTTGCTACATTTTATTTATTATCATTGATTGTTTTATTTATTATCAATGATTTATTATCATGAGGAACAATGACAATGATGTTTATCAGTAAGTGTGGCTTGAATCTAATTACCATAAGTACTAACAAGGCCAAATTTCCTAGATATGAAAATGATTGTAAGAAAACACTTAGTCCAGATTCTAATTTCCAAGCTTTATGACACTGTCAATCTACATTCATGTGGTAATAAGCCCTGCTAGCTAGTTTGTTCTCTTAACATGTTCATGACCTTATTAAGTTGAGGGAACATCAGTGAAATGCAGGTAGGGTAAGAGAACTTGATTATTGACCACCACTGCAATCTCTATAATCTGTTGTTAGATGCTCAGTCTCTACAACACCTTATTCATGAAACCAGGCAGACAATCATAGCAAAGCAGAGGGAGCCATATGGAGTAGTAAAAGTTATCAATCCCTACCTTTGCCAACCATAAAAAACCAACTTAGTAGTAGAACTAAACTTAGAATCTATAATCCCAATTCCAAATCCAGACCTCTCTGCTGGAGTCATAGGTCTTCCTTGGAGGCTCTACAGGGGAACAAAGCCATGTGGCTTATGATCTCTCAAGGGTTCCCTACAAGTAGGCTGACAATCTGGCCTGAGGATTGCCACTGGAAAGAAGTTGGTGTTCACCTCCATTAAACTGGTGGGGCAACATGGTGTGTACCATGAACCACAGAGACCACTGTGGAGTAATTTGTACTCCAGCAGACTTGTGAAAATGCCAAGGAAACTCTTGGCATAGCCTCTGTCTAAAGCCTTTACCCAATGTAGATGAAATGATGTGCTTGGACATGGCTCAAAGCCTCTGCTCCTCCACATAGCCCAAGCCCATTGAAGACTTGCTTCCTGTGAGCTGATCCATTACATCTTCCTGAAGCTGGTTGCCACAAAACCCCAGACTTTAGCACATGAGCCAACATGCAATTTAACAGTTTCCTTTTCCTCATGTGCAAATGAAGGACAGAGTAACAAAAATAACCCCAAAGCTACTCATTAAAATGGCAGTAACAAATAGAAACATTAAAAGAGTTAAGAAAAAAGAACCAAACCATATAGGACTATTGTAAAGGTATATTTCTCTAAATTTAAAACAAATATTGGTTAAATTGCCATTTATGTGCAACAAAAACACAGAACTAAGGCAATAAAAAGCCTTGATCAGACAGCCCATAACGCAACACTTAAGGAAGGGGTCTACGTTCAATGCCTAGAGTTTCAAATTCCTGGACAAAGAGCCAAATGACAGAGAACTCTTAGCCTTCTTTGCCCCAAATAATACAAAATGCAAAATCCATGAAAAAAAAGGATGATAAATTGAATGTCACCCGCGTTTTAGAATTTTGGACAAAACACATCATGAAATGAATTTTAAAAGACAGACTACCCAAGAGAAAACATTTGCAACACATCTAACAAATAATATCCAAAGTTTGTAAATAATTCTTACTAAGCAGTACAAAAAGTGCAACTAATTCCACAGAAAAATGAGCAATTGTCATAAAAAGTATTTTACTGAGTAGAAAATATAAGTGTCCAATAAATGTAAGTAGTTATAGTAAACCACACTGGTAATTAGCAAGATGCAAATCAAAGCAATACTGCAATTCAGTTCCCACCCATCAGGAAGGCACAGATTGAAAAGATGGTAGGCAACAGTGTGAGGAAATAGATTCATTCACCACATGGATGGCTGCGTGAATCATTGCAGACTTTTTGGAAAGAAATTTTGCAGACGCCATTAAACATTTTAATGGGTGTGCCCTTGATCCCATACCTGTACTTATAAGAGTCTATCAATTAAGTTAGTTTCAGCTTTAAAACCTGAAAAATTCTACTCAAAGTGGCTAAAACAATAAAAATATTTACTAGGTTACATAATTTGAAGTCCAGAATTATTGATTATCAGAGTTGCTGATCTGATAATTCTATGAGATCAGCAAGGGTCAGCAGTTTTTTTTTAATTCTCTGGCCTTAAGTTTAATTCTTAAGGCCAGGTTTCTCCAAGGCCATAAGATGGCTGCCCATGTCAATCAAAACTGTGGGCTCAGTCATTCACATCTTGTAGAAAGAAAGGAATGTCTCTCCTACAACTATCAAAGTCTTTCTGGTCTGTTCGAGCCAACTTGAGAGTCATGCTGTGTCAATCGGGGTCCTAACAAAAAACAGATGACACGTTCGAATTTGGCAATTGGAGGTAAACGTAATGAAGGAATTATTTATAAAGATATGGATAGAGTACAGGAAAATCCCAGGGCATAGTACAGAACCTCAGGCTACTAGAAGTGGGTTGTACCTCTGGCCACCCCTAGGCCTGAAAAGACAGGAGGAGGAAATGGTTACTAGCACCGAGGGAGAGAGAGAGAGAGAGAACAGGGCCAGTTAATAGGAGCTGTGGCCTTCATCACGAAATAGCCTGCAGTGACCTCATGAGAAAGGAACCAGGGCACAGAGTCATGAATGGCTTAATGACGTTTCATAGTGCAAACATCATAGAGCATATTTACACAAATCTAGATAGCACCACCTACTACACTCCTAGGCTACATTGCATAGCCTGTTGCTCCTGTGCAAACCTGTACAGCATGATACTGAAGCAGGAAGGGCCGCAAGAAACAAACCTCTCAAATACCCAACTGGGAAGAAAGGAGTGATTTATTCAGCCAGGAGCAAGGCGGCATAGTTGCCTAACAGCCAAGCTTGAGCTCACAAAAAAGTCCCTGCCCTTTTAAAGGCGTACAACTCTAGAAATTACATGTGAAAGGGTCTTGGGCTTACAACTTTGGAAATTACATGTGAAAGGATCTTGGCCCATGAAGTAGGTGTGGGGTGGGAGTTTGATCCTGTTTAAGTAAAAACAATGCCTTCTGGAAAGATTCCTCCGCACCATGCCTGCGATCTATAGGGGGGCAATTAAAGTGGCACCTGGTCTGCCAGCCTTTACTTCTCCTATTGAAATGCAGTGTGGAAGTGAAGGGGGAGGTGGTCTTAGATGCTGAGGTCTCCTTCCTCAATACTATACTGAATATTTCAGGCAAATGTAACAGAACGGTAATGATTTCTGTATTTAAACATATCTAAACATAGAAAGAATATGGTAAAAGTGTGGCATTATAATCTTACGGAACCACCATCATCTATGCAGACTGAAATGGCATTATGTAGCAAACACCCTGTACTCTTTTTCTTCCTGATGTATAATAATGTATGTTTTGCCATCCTAAATGTCTCAAAATAGAGTCACCTGTGACAAGTGACTCAGCCTACAGTGAAATTGCTGATCCCTCAAAGTGATAAACGCACGCATCTGAGGGTAAATGTTACACCCACTGTGGTCAGGCACTCAGTCCAAGACTGAACAAAAAGCAAAGCCAAAGGCTGTGGGGATCATGGCTGTGTACACTCCTGTGGAGGGCCTTAAAAACCAC